TCAATGCTTTTTTGTAATAATCGCTTGTCGCTTGATTTTCTCGCGGCATCGCTATTTCATTGGCGTTTATTCAGCGATAGCAACCAATGACACTTTCGCTTCAACCAAACATGGCCCCTGTACCCGACCAATGAGCTTGGACCATCAATTTTGTGGCAAGGACTCGCTTCAGCGCAAAGGACGATGCTGTCAGCGGACTAGACTTTTCCCGAAAGCTCTTTGGACTCGATAAGATCAACGACTCCACATAACGATTTCCACTTTCTTTGAAGGGAAATTGATTGCAAAAGGATTTTGATTTGGATTATAGTGTGTTTACTTTTTGTTGCTTTTTAAAGAATCTTTACTTTCGAAAAATTTTAAACAAGTCTAATCCATCAGAACATATGCAAAAGGATACCAGAGAAGAGCAGATTCGACTCTCGTACCGAAGGTCCTGTATTTCATACATTATTAAACATATATAATGATTTTGAAAATGTAAACACTAAGCCGCGCTTCCTGGCTTCTTACATTAAAGCGAACAGTCGATACCAAAAAAACCTTCCAGCAGATAATATAAACAAAAAGGATTATTATTATTTGAGATTTTTCAGCCTGCAACTTTAGCAGATATGAAAGGAGGGTGTTTTTTATCACAATTTTCTTCATAGATCTATAACTTGTTTTCTGGCCCAATTAATTTTTGGGTCGTTTTTTATTAAATTTTTAGCAATATTTTCAAAAATACCCCTTCCTTTTTAAAAATAAGTACTGAACAGGCATTAAAGGCTAAATTAACAGGAGTGTTATAATAAACGAATGGAATAATTTTATTACCCATTCGAAATGGGACAAATGTTTTATTGTTTCTTGTGTTATTATAAATCCCTAAAGGAGTAAATACAGATGCCTATATGTATCCTAGGTAATGTTTATCTATTGATATATATAAGTACGTAAATATGAGTTTAGTTTTGATCCTTCATAAACCATCGCATTGGTTTGGACCGATTCCAATGTGTATGACTGAATGAACCTAGCAAAATAAATCCCTTTCCTGTTGCCATCATCGCATTCGGCTGGATCTCGCTATAGTTGGGGACTGTAATAACCCGAATCCCAGTCACGCCCCCGGCCCGCAACCCGATGGCGTACAACAGGCTCCGGGAGCATCGCATCAGCACTCAACAAAAGCCGCAGCTTGCTAGGTATATTCGATCACATCACCGCGCAACTTCAGCACTAGATAAAGTCAGTCAGCGGTCGTAATTTTTTCTCGCGTTGTCGAAGCTCACTAGATTCGATTTTCAATTTTTCCGTGTTGAGCTTTTTACTGGAAACGTTTTAGACCTCGGGGAATGTTTTTGTTCGACGAAAGCTCGCTAGATTTTGTTACCTGTGCGTGAATGATTTCTTTTATTGGAACTGAACTGAACTGAATTTGAAAAACTTGCCTCGGCCTATTTGAATTGTTGTTTTAATAAGGAAGAGTAGAAGGTGAGTTTTGGATTTCATTCGTCAACTAATGTATCTAACAATAGCAGGGCGAAATTGATTTACTTGCCACAACTTACATTTCTGAAGGCAACAAACATTTCAAAAAATGTATACCTACAACAACCTAATGGTAGTAGACCCTATAACCGGCATCCCACCTAGTTTTTAATAATGCCTGATATATTAAAACCTTTTTGAATTGTTAAAAGAGGAAATTCACAATGCTGAGCATTTCTACTTATTGCAAAATAATCCCCTTATAATGCCTGGCAAAATATTTATTAGATTCTCTATAATTTTTGTCTGTTGTAATTTCAAACTAATCCAAAATGTATATTCTTCATGGCAGAGATTGAAAACTGGCTTAATTTTGTTATGCGATACGATATCGATAAATCCAAATCCAAATAAATGTAAGGAAAAGTATTTTTTTATCATTCAAATTGCTTATCATTCAAGCCTTAATAAGATCAAATCCAGAGGTAAACTTTACTTAAACGTCCCAGTTTATATTTTTATACGATTATTATTAATAATATGTAACAAAAAAGTGCAAAGGACTTTCTTCTTTTTATTTCTAATTCTATGCATCGGCTGAAATCTAAATGGATTATTATTCTTTGAAATACTAAATTCCAATTGCTTATTCTTTTCATCACGAAGTGTAATTATGCAACTAACTTTTTTGTTATAAAATGATTATTAATTACTTGAATAAAAGCTGAATTGATTTAAAAGGATCACACTTGCAACGTACCTATTATAAACGTTAATAAGATTCCCAAGAATCAACCCCTAGCAGGAAGAATTCTCGGTTACGCACCCCCCGTTTGAGATTCCTTCTCCCATATGATGTAAATTACACGCTTCTTTTCAACGATAGAGTGTCAGATTTCCTTTACGCTCAATTTGCAAAACAGGACCACCATGGGACTTGATGGGTGTTATTTATTCTGTAGATATTTCTTTTAGACATACGGGTTCAGGATGAAGATCTACCGCCACGATTATCATTTATTTACATTAGAATTATGTGACCGCATCGTTGTTTAACTTGGATTAGATAATTTGACTGAGTGGATAAAACAGATTTGAGAATGATCCGTAAAAATTAAAAGGATGTTGTTGATTTTCATTACCTTAAAACGGAAATCCTAGATTCAGCATGTGAACAAACTCACCGAGGACCTGAAACAAAATTAAGTAGTACATAGTATATTTTTTAGTAACACAGCAATTGTATATAATAAGACTTTTAGACATCATATCTGTACGTTACAAACTAATAGGTCATTAAACGTCGCATTTGAAATCCCAATTATTGAAAAAAGTAGAATAATCTGTAAAAACCGTCAACATCACGTCCTCTGCGCGAAAACAATTTCCTTCTCTCAAGAAAAAAATCATAATCCATAACATCAAAATAATCATGAGCTTTATGTTGGTCTTGTAGGTATTTTGCTCATTATTACCGTCATCATAAGGTCGTCAGTCCGAAGACTGGTTGGACACGCACCTCCATTCCTTGCTATTCTGAGCTCATATCCTATGAAAAATAATAATAATGCTCCAGCCTTAAAAGGAAGAAGTTTTATTTTACAATATTAATCTTAGCTAATTCTTCCCTTCCGGATTTTCCAGGGGGTTCCCTCACCTCTCATTGTCTACTTATGTATAAGATAAACTACCATACACAGCTGTCACTCGTGCTAGCACTCCATGCTATCCCATTTCTATATCACGCACTCGAGCACGTTTGTCAAAAGGGAGATTAAACATGTAATAAAAACGCACACAAAAATGTATAACACACGCACAAATTTAAATTTATTATGCATACTACACACCACTATTAGATATACTTAAAATACATTAATTTTTAACAATAGTATAAAAATTGTAAGTTTATTCTATTGAAGTTATATCTAAGACAGTACTACAAATCAAATCGGTAACTTCTTTCGTGTTTTATCCAAAAAAAAATAGTGTTCCTTAGGACATCAACGCGTGCGAAGCCGCGGTAAAATTCAGTGGAAGACCTGACGAACACGCAACATTGACATTTGTAATTATGGTCATCATCATAAGGTCATCAGTCCTAAGACTGGTTGGACACGTACCTCCGCAATATGCAAATGCCACTACACCATTAGAAACTTTAATTCAACTTATTCTCATTAAACAAATTATGTACAGTATTATGCGAATGATAATAACTTTATATAAAAAAAAAACCTGCTGCTGCGGTGGATGCTTTTAAAAACTTCCCCTGCTCTTTAAAAGCGAGCGCTCTTGTGTTCAATGCTTTTTTGTAATAATCGCTTGTCGCTTGATTTTCTCGCGGCATCGCTATTTCATTGGCGTTTATTCAGCGATAGCAACCAATGACACTTTCGCTTCAACCAAACATGGCCCCTGTACCCGACCAATGAGCTTGGACCATCAATTTTGTGGCAAGGACTCGCTTCAGCGCAAAGGACGATGCTGTCAGCGGACTAGACTTTTCCCGAAAGCTCTTTGGACTCGATAAGATCAACGACTCCACATAACGATTTCCACTTTCTTTGAAGGGAAATTGATTGCAAAAGGATTTTGATTTGGATTATAGTGTGTTTACTTTTTGTTGCTTTTTAAAGAATCTTTACTTTCGAAAAATTTTAAACAAGTCTAATCCATCAGAACATATGCAAAAGGATACCAGAGAAGAGCAGATTCGACTCTCGTACCGAAGGTCCTGTATTTCATACATTATTAAACATATATAATGATTTTGAAAATGTAAACACTTTAAGCCGCGCTTCCTGGCTTCCTACATTAAAGCGAACAGTCGATACCAAAAAAACCTTCCAGCAGATAATATAAACAAAAAGGATTATTATTATTTGAGATTTTT